GCCCTTTCCGCGAGGGAATCCGCGAGAACTCGAGCTTGTACTGGGGGCTTGTCGGAGCTAGTGCTGTGGCATTCTCTGGAGCTACGGACTTCATGCCTGAGTTGAACCGATGGTTACAGATCGTCGAGATGGAGGGATCGGTACGTCATTTTCCCAATTTTTAGTATGAAAATCTTATCATTGATTCTTCATCCGTCCAGTTCAAGGTGAAGTTAACCAGCGTCATGATCGTCGATTTTGTTGGTTGTTGGGTGATTGAGAAGCTTTGCAAACGCCTGTTTGCAGATCTCGAGCCAAAACCATTAGTCACTCGGGGTAGGGAACGGAGAGAGGCGAGACGGAGGGAGGAGGCGAGACTAGCGGATGAGGCAGCCGCAGAGAAGAAATCTCAGTAAAGACGCTGCATACATATAGCTAGATTCCCCACACAAAGCTTTCGAGATCATCTTAGACTTTTTCAAGTTTTCATATCGAAGATGTCGATGACTTTAAGCTCCGCCTGAAAGACATCCCAATTGGTATACAGATAGATCATACTTTGGAGTGACGTTGCAAGTACTCGTGTTCAGGTCAACTCACCAGGAAAACAGTCGCGTCATTGTAACTTTTATTCGAACCCGTGCGGAGGCGCTGAGATGCTCAATTTTGAAGATGTCGAAGAGCGAGATGGTTTGTTTCATCGATATCTTGTTTAAATTGATCGATTAGCTTATGTTTGATTTCAGGTGTTCGTCTCTCGTGGAATGTATGGCCCTCTTCTCGGATAGAGGCGACGCGGACTGTGGTTCCGATATCAGCACTCTATACTCCATTGAAGCAGCGAGAGGATCTTCCCCCAGTATTATACGAACCCGTGACGTGTAAACCCCCTTGTCGCGCTATTCTCAATCCATATTGGTATGTCTCTTCTCTTCCTTCCTGAAATTCTACTAATGATGCGCCATGCAGTCAAATCGATATCAGAGGCAAACTGTGGATTTGTCCGTTTTGCTTGACCCGCAATCCTTTCCCGCCACATTATAAAGATATCTCTAACACCAATCTACCCGCTGAACTACTTCCCAAGTACACGACGATTGAGTACACGCTATCTCGTCCCGCTCAGGCTCCACCTGTCTTCCTGTTTGTCGTCGATACCTGTCTAGATGCCGATGACCTCAAAGCACTTCGTGACGCTCTTGTCGTCAGTCTCAGCTTGATCCCACCATATGCATTAGTTGGTCTCATTACGTTCGGCACAATGGTGCGTACATACATTTGTTCCCTCATTACTCAAGCTCATTGCTTTAACTACTAGACACAAGTTCACGAGTTGGGCTATGCAGAGTGCAGCAAATCATACGTCTTCCGTGGCGGCAAGGAGTACACACAGAAACAGATTCAGGACATGCTTGGACTCAGTACGACAACTCGCGCCGCACCCCGTGCCGGCCAACCCATGCCCCAACAAGCTTTTGGTGCTGCGCGTTTCCTGCTTCCTGTCCAGCAATGCGAATTTCAACTCACTGGCATTTTGGAGGCACTCGCTCGTGACCCTTGGCCAGTTGCCAATGACAAGCGCGCTTTACGTTGCACTGGTGTGGCCGTCAGTGTAGCCGTTGGACTCCTGGAGGTGAGTTTATCAATTGTGGTGAGGAGAGCGTACGGGTGACAACATAACTCAGACGACTTTCCCTAACACGGGCGCGCGTATAATGGTTTTCGCGGGTGGACCGGCAACGGAGGGTCCAGGGATGGTTGTCAGCAACGAACTCAAGGAGCCTATTCGCTCTCATCACGACATCGAACGGGACAGCGTCAAGCACTACAAACGTGCGGTAAAGGTTTGTCCTGGATCAGTGACACAATGTACCATGGCATCATAGTTTGCTTTGTTTTAGTTCTATGAGGCTCTGGCGAAGAGGGTATCCAACAATGGCCACGCTGTCGATTTGTTTGCTGGTTGCTTGGATCAAGTGGGCTTGCTAGAGATGAAATCATTGCCCAACTCAACAAACGGTGTCATTGTCCTATCTGATTCGTTTGCTACGTCGATCTTCAAGCAAAGCTTCTTGCGCATGTTCAATAAGGACGATCAGGATTTCTTGCAGATGGGTTTTAACGCGACGTTCGACGTACAGGCAAGTCATCTTGCATACTCCTCTACATGACCTTTTGATTTCAATATATTTAGACAACCAAAGAACTGAAAGTTTCTGGCCTCATCGGACATGCAATCTCCGCCGGAAAGAAATCTGCGTGCGTTGGCGAGACAGAGATTGGTATTGGTCAGACGTCAGCCTGGCGAATCAACTCCATTACGCCTAGGACATCTGCTGCTATTTACTTCGAGGTCGTTACTCCTGCGGGCCAGGCATTGTCTCCCGGATCAAGGGGTCTCATTCAATTCGTCACTCATTATCAGCACTCGTCTGGGCAGATGCGTTTGCGTGTCACCACAATCGCTCGAAATTTTGCAGAAGCCAACTCTCCCAGCATTGCTTCTTCCTTCGATCAAGAAGCCTCTGCCGTACTTATGGCGAGAATAGCAGTCTTTAAGGCCGAAATAGACGACTCACCAGACGTTTTACGTTGGCTCGACCGCATGCTCATCCGTCTTTGCCAGAAGTTCGCAGATTACAGGAAGGAAGACCCTGTCAGCTTTAGACTAACGGATAATTTCAGCATTTATCCACAGTTCATGTTCCATCTCCGGAGAAGTCAGTTCTTACAGGTGTTTAACAATAGTCCCGATGAGACTGCATTCTACAGGTCTGTACCTCTGCTGTGCGGTACAATATTTGGATACTGAAGGTCACATGACAGACATATTCTCAACGAAGAAGACGTCAATAACTCGTTGATCATGATTCAACCTACTCTGATGTCATATACATTCGATGTTGAGCCACAGCCTGTCTTGCTCGACAGCGTTTCTATCAAAGCTGATGCTATCCTCCTCCTCGACACCTTCTTCCATATTCTCATTTTCCACGGTGAAACAGTGGCCCAGTGGAGGAAGGCTGGTTACCAAGATCAGGATGGATACGAGAACTTCAAAGAACTGTTGGAGAACCCTGTTACAGATGCTCAGGTGCGATAATTCAGTTTTGGTACTTCTAACTCACTTTGACGGCCATCCACACAGGACTTACTGGTCGATCGCTTCCCTATACCACGTTACATCGTCTGCGACCAGGGTGGCAGTCAAGCTCGATTCCTGCTATCGAAGCTCAATCCGTCGACAACGCACATGTCGACGTCGATGTATGGCACTCCACAAGCCGCGGGCGCTGGCCAGGCAATCTTCACCGACGACGTCAGCTTGCAGGTCTTCATGGAGCACCTGAAACGTCTAGTAAGGGTTTCTACGTTGCTGGTATCACGATACGCGCTTACGAGGGGCTTTTTCGCCAGGCTGTGGGCGCACAAACAAACTGATTGCTGCTTTGTGCACTGGACGCTGTTTATTTTTTGCGTTCGAGAGTTAGCCTTTCGATTATAGTATTGTTGAAAGTGTATCGTAAAATGTCCATTTTTCTGATTTCGTTTCAATCTTCAATGCGGAACTGTATTTGAGGTCTGTTATCTTGTCCAGCCAAACTTTCAGATTGATCAGACTCCATCTTGTGTACAAAATGATCTGCATCCTCAGCTATGCGTATCCCCTGTTTGTTTGAAGTATAAAAATAACGTGATTAGAGCACGTGTCACAGGACTCTAATCTCTAACTTAACCTCGCGATGCCCGGACATACCCCGCATAGAACACCTCTCAAACGTGTCTCCCAAGGGTCTCTCTTCGCTCTCTCGCGATCAGGTAACAATCCTGATGCGCCCCATGGCCTTGGCTTCATCGAGCCTGTAATGGCAGAGCTAGTCGACGAAGTCGAGGCGCTGCAAACGAACGTAGAGGGCCTAAGGAACCTCAGTAACTCTTTGAAGACATTCAATGAAAGCTTCGCAAGCTGGCTATATGTCATGGACATGAACGCGCTTACGGTGGACTGGCCGCAGGTGAGCCCTGGTACTTTCACGATGATCGAGTACGTCGGCTGATCTCTTGTTGTTAATCTGCTAGGCTCCAACGGAGGCATCGTTCCGGCTGGCTAAGCGACGAGCAGGTGCGTTGTGTAATGAATGTCTTGTGCGTTCGAGATGATGCGACATGTCCATTAGAGGAAAACGCTCGTTTGGCTGAGGAAGCTGCTCTGAAAACAGCATTAGCCATTCCGCCACCGCCAGACTCAGAGGCAGACAAGACGACGTTCACCGAAAACCAAGAGTTTGAAACGACGTACACGACGAATGCTACGACAAGGAATGCTTCTACTAGCATTACAAAGACCGCATCGACAGGTATTCCTAAGAGGAAGGTTAAACCAAAGCTCACTGCGAAGGAGAAAAAGGACCGATCGGTGAGCATTGATACATGAGGCATTCTTTTATTCATTTTTGATTATCCCCACAGCTTTCACTTGAGAAGATAGTAATGTCTCTTCCTCTTGAGTTTCGGGGTAGTGATCCGGCACGTATATACTCGATGATGATATGAGACTGTTTATTAAAGGATAAACGCTCCAGGGTCTCCGACGTAACATGGAATCTGTGATAGAATTCATGATGGACAGCGATGGACGGGGTATCAGACGTGAGCAATCCTTCTTTGTTGCAGTATACATTGGCTCACAAGTCCTGGCACGCAGTCGTCGAACTCGTCAAACCTCCCGATCTCAATCAGGCACGTGTCAACAAATGTTTAATTGCTTTAGTGAACCGGAAGATTGTCCGAAAGGAAAACAGTACTGTAGGTCACAACCATTCGAACAACACGCATTCTCCTGATTTCCGAGCAGGGCACAGTGCTCTACCATTGGACCGGATTATCATGAGATCCGGTGTAGTGATGCATGAACATCCTTGGTTCTCGCGCCCTATCGGATTTTCGTTTTTTTTTTGCAGTCACTGTACGACTTATTCGACTCCATCATTGTGAGGTGATGCAGGCAGCATTTCGGACACCAACGATGATATAGCTAAGAGACGCTCCTTATTGCGACTGCGGTAGTGCAAATCACACCCGGAAAGTTTGAGCCGTACTGTTAATACCTTGACCAGATCGGATCGCGAGGGTTACATTCATTAAACAAGGTTTGAACGAGATACTTAAACAAGTTGGTCTCGAGAACGCCTGCGCGCGTCAACATGTCGGCAACATGGTCATGGTATGGATTATAGACTCTCCATCACTTATTTCCAAGGTATGCGTCTTCTTTACGGAAGTATCTCTAGATGCGAATCCCTCGGGGTCTTGTCTCATCATCTCAGCCCTGATGTAATCCCTACATTATCTTCATGAGAACGGCATTAAAGGAGTAATTTGGTGTTTATGTACCTTGTCAGATGAATACCGGTGTCACGGGCAATGAGCTGTTTGATCATCCGAGGGCCGAGCTTCTTTTCCGGATCTTTCAAGATCTGAGTGAGCACGAGCTGTCGTTTGACCGTCTCTGGCAGCTGTCGGGTGGTTACACCACTTGCATAGAGACCCAAAGCTCTTCGTCTGCGAGCTACAGAGCTTTCGCTGAAGTACATCATTGCTTGTAAAGGTACAGAAGAGCGCATAACACGCGTACCTCAACTTAATCCCATGCTCGTCATACAAGAGTTGACTTATCTTCTTTTTATCAAATATCTCTCTCCGTTGGTAGTCATACAGAAGCTCCGTAACCTGATTGTCATCCTTCGGGGCTGCAGACGGTTAAAACAATATAAGGAGCGGAAAGGGCCGACACGTACGACAGTCCTTGTATTGATTCCTCCCAGTTGGGTTTCGATTATGTGGCTTTGTCGAAGTCGCTGCGGAAGGACCTGACATGAGTCACGAGCAGGGACGTTAAAGGAGTCAACGAAGAACTGTACTGGGAAGCAAGCGACACCTTCTACATGTGCTAGTTAGCTAGGGCTCAACGTTCGACCCGAATTTGGGTTCAGGTGGGTGTTTGGCAACAGCCTCTGATCCAAACAACTACTAAGTAGGCAGCTGCAATAGTGCATGCACGTTCTTGTGGCATCTATCTAATAATAATTTCCAGATCTTCAATGGACGAACTTCAGGATACTGGCACATGTGAACCGTGAAGCCATGAACGAAACGACTCGAGTACTCGTTGCATTACAGCTGGCGCCGTCATTCAGCTTCTTAAGCTTGGTGATGAAATTTGAGAATTGGCTAGTGTAGGTGAGTCCGGTATCCTTAGATTATGTTCAATTCTGAAGCTTCTGCAATACATACCTGACAGTGGCATAATTCCATTCCGTAGGTGTCCTAAGCCTGTCTCTGTTTTTCCGTACAAACTTCACATTACTGATGACCTCGATGTCTCGTAGCCCATTGGCGCCCATCTCCACAATTGCAAGTCTTTGATCAGTAAGAGTCAACACTTGATACATCGATGTAGTCTAACTCATCATGACAATGAGCGCTCCTATACCCACGTTCATTTTAGACCGCGATATTATAGTATACCGTCTGCTGTCAAAGGTCTCACAAGTCTATGATTTCGTGACGGACGAGGGGTCGGTGCTAGTGATGCAAGGAACAACTCCGTCACTCAAGCCGCGTCAATAGAGAGACCAGCCCAGGCCCATACGCAGCCATCCGAATGCCCTTTCGGCCGCTTTGATCAATATTTCTACCTGGATTATGATGATGGTATTGACGTGACGGGGCGGGCGCTTGCCACACAATAGAAACCGCAACTGAACTGCCATCACTGTGTTATGCATCCCGTGATTATCGGCTAGTATTCGTGCATTGACTGCCTCAGAACATGGTATCGAGGTAATTGTTCCATTAGCCAGTTCACAAGTACTGAGTGTGCAACTTAGTACACTTAAACTCTCTGAGTCATGCTGGCAGAAATCAGTCAGCAAACAACATCAAAAAACGTAAACAGAACAATGCGCGTCGTCCGAGGATAAACACCAATAGCCTCTCTCACTGAGTATTGTAGATCACGCGTGATTTTCACGGGGGAAATGCCTGCAATGAACATCGTGTTTTGCACCATGGATTCTCCAATTTCAAGGATATCTGGTTCTAAGTGTGCCTAAAGGGTCTGCAAGGAAGGGTTAAATGAGCTGTCAGCTCATCGAAAAAGGGTGTAATTGAACGCGCCTATAAACCTGAAGCAAGTCAAACTGGCTTCTAATGATGCGCCTCCTTTGCAATCTGAGCACCGTATGGGTTTTTAGGATCCTTAGCGTACGTCTCCGCTGTAACACCCATTCATGCGAGGTCAAAGTGGAAAAAGCACATAACGTACAACGAACACCCATCTCCTGCATCTTCGAGACAAGGTAAAAGGTTACTGCGCTCGCTGCTAAGAAGGGCGCCATGGGCCTCAACACCTGTAACATGACTGGTCATCCGAAAATCACTTGTGGCACGAGAAATGGAACATACAGGAGTGGACCATTTGCGAAGACCGAGAAATGCCATGAGTGTGATCTAGTACAGAGTTATTTGAAGTAGAACATGAATTAGTCGAAACTCACTGGTTATAAGGCTGGAGTGAACTGGAAGAGCGGAACGAATGATGTGCTGAATAGGGCGAAACCGGGAACAGACATACAACGCATATTCGGAAGGTGCTTCTCACGCCTTTATACAACATTTACCACGTCTATTATCAATACACGTCCAAAGTAACGCTCGAGCTCACTGTCAGTCGCGTTGTCTAGGTCATAATGGCAGCAGAGGCACCATGCTACACAGTCGTATTTGAAGATACCACAGAGAGCCCATCTACGCAGGAGCTTAGGGCATCTCTCGAGAAAGGTACTGATGAAGACAGACTGGACACGTTGCGCAGGATCATTGTGTCGACCATTAATGGGAACCCTCAGGTATGTTCCAATCTTTCCTGTAGACCGCATAGAGCTGATGCAACGGTGGTGGCCCAGCCAACGCTCTTGATGCCCATCATACAATATATCATGCCCTCCAAAAACAAGCAGCTCAAAAAGCTGCTTCACTTCTACTGGGAGGTATGTCCCAAGTATGACGAGAACGGGAAGCTTAAGCAGGAGATGATTCTAGTCGTGTACGTGTATCTATTATCCTCCTACCGTACATATACTCACCTTGCCTAGCAATGCCATCCGAAACGACTTGGTAAGACTGATTCCCGCCCTCTGGATGTTCTGTTCTTCATATCCCTACAGCAACACCCCAACGAATATATCCGTGGCGCTACCTTACGTTTCCTCCAAAAAATATCCAAAGATGCTGAACTCCTCGAACCCCTGATTCCCACCTGCCGCAGCTGTCTCGAGCATCGTCATTCCTACGTCCGCAAGAACGCCGTATTCGCCGTGTACACCATCTACCGCGAATATGAACACCTCATCCCAGATGCCCCCGAGCTCATGCAGACTTTCATTGCTGCAGAGTCAGACGCGACGTGCAAGCGTAACGCATTTGTGTTCCTCGCGCATTGCGCGATGCCCAAAGCTGTGGAGTGGTTGATTAGCGTGTATGATCAGCTGACGAGTCTAGATGAGCTTTTACAAATGAGCATCATAGAAGTCATCAGGTTGGATTGTAAGAACGACACGACGCATCGAGTAAGTCCTTTCATTTAGGCCATCCCGTTTATCCTCATTTTTGTCGTTTTGCAGCCCCGATACATCAGATGCATGTTTGAATTGTTGAATTCATCGTCACATGCAGTAAAGTATGAAGCTGCTACGACGCTCACGACACTCACGCAGAACCCTGCTGCTGTGAAAGGTATGTTTATGATCAGGTCCTGTACGCATATATGCTCACTCTCATAATTAGCGGCTGCCTCGTGCTTTGTTAATCTGGTCGTTAAAGAATCTGACAACAACGTTAAACTAATCGTCCTGGATCGCCTGGATACCCTACGCTCCAAGCATGGTCATATTCTGGATGGACTGACGATGGATATCTTGCAGGTCTTGTCGAGGTACAAACATGGGTCAATCACTAGCTGAAAATAGTACTGAATCCTATCGTATCAGCGCCGATATGGAGGTCCGAAGGAAAGCCATGAGCATCGTTCTCAGCATGACCTCGAATCGAAACGTCGAGGAAGTTGTTCTCTTCCTCAAGAAGCAGCTGCAGCAGACACAGGAGCGCGAGTTCGAAAAAGTCAGTCTCGCAGTCCTGCACGTTGCCGTGAACTAATCTTGGGATAGGCCCCGGAATACAGGCAACTTCTAATCCAATCGATCCATGTGTTAGCAGTCAAGTTTTCTGAGGTAGCTGCAAGTGTTGTTCATGCACTCATGGAATTCCTTGGGGACTCGAATAACCCCTCTGCGCTGGACGTCGTGGCCTTCGTCCGGTTTGTTTTTCCTCCTAGTCCCCACATCTTATTTCACTAACACTCCCGCAGTGAAGTAGTCGAGAAATTCCCACACCTCCGGCAGTCTATATGCGACAAGCTTACTCAAACTTTGACAGAGATCAAATCCGGTAAAGCCTTCCGTGGCGTCCTCTGGATTCTGGGCGAGTACGTCGAAGACCTGTCAGACATTCAGGCCACATTCCAGGACATCCGCAAAGTGCTTGGCGAGATCCCTATTCTTGCAAGTGAGCAGCGCTTACTGGACGAGGTTGACGGAGAGGAGGACAAGAAGGAGGACAAGAAGGCCGAGGGAAGCGGGCGGCCAAAGGTACTTGCTGACGGGACATATGCGACGGAGACGGCGTACACCAGCACCAACTCAGCGAGGTTAGAAGCCGTCAAGGCTGCGTCCAAGCCTCCATTGAGAGGTGCGTGGTGTGCTCATTTATTTCGTTCGGAACTTTTAAGGATGTGATATTAGCCCTCATACTGGGAGGCGACTTTTTTACGGGTTCGGTACTCGCCTCGGCGCTGACGAAGCTTGTGTTGCGGTTCGATGACCTCACAAACGACCGGCCAAAGGCCAACGCTCTGCGTGCTGAGGTACGTACTACTGTTAACATTTTCATAGCATTCACTGACGCCTACCCAGTCCATGTTGATCATGACGTCTATTATCCGTGTTGGCCAGTCGAAGTTTGTCACAGTACCGATCGATGAGGATTCCAACGAGCGCATTCTTAATTGCATACAAACTTTAAGCGAGCTCCAGGAAAAGTCCGTCGTCCACGATATTTTCTTGAAGGACACGAAAGCTGCATACTCCAAGATGCTCGTCGCTCAGGAGGTGCGTGTATAGTCTACTTCAAGTTGTGTTGCTGATAAGCAGACAGAAAAAGGCAGCGGAGAAGAAAGAGGCGGAAAGCACGAAGGAGAATGTTGTGCAAGTCGATGACTTGCTTACTTTCAGGCAGTTTTCGAAAAAATCAGCGGATGATCCCATCGATGTAGGCCTTTGTCATCGACTGATGATACTCCATTCATTTTTTCCCCAGTACGTGGAGGACTTAGGCAAGGCCACAGGAGCTGCGGAAGTTCGGGAAGACTTCATATCCAACCTCAGTCGCATATCCCAGCTCACAGGTAGATCTTGTAGTGCTGCGGTCATGTTAAGTCTCAGTGCTCATCACTTCTAGGTTTTTCGGACCCTATATATGCGGAAGCATACGTCAAGATGCACGGATTCGATATTATGCTTGGTGTGTATGCTTCCCTTGATGAACTATTTTATGACGACACTCATTAACGGCACTCAGATGTCCTTCTGGTCAACCAGACATCTAATACGCTGCAAAATCTCTGTCTTGACTTCGCAACGCTTGGTGACCTCAAACTGGTCGAACGACCTGCTGTATATACCATAGCACCTCACGGTTTCCAGAGTATTAAGGCCACAATCAAGGTAACAAGCAAAGATACTCTGTCACTTAACCATGTTAATTGTGCATCGTAGGTTTCGTCAACAGAGACTGGCGTCATATTTGGCAGCATCCTATGGGATGGCCCTGCCCTCGCTGAATGCTGTGTTATTTTGAACGACATCCACATCGATATTATGGACTATATCAAGCCCGCGTACTGTAGCGAGACGCAGGTATGTCTTTAATATCTATCATGGCTGTCTAAATACTCACTACCCCCAAGTTCCGAAGCATGTGGACAGAGTTTGAGTGGGAGAACAGAGTCAATGTGTCGACGAACATGACGTATTTCTCTCGGGGTTCTCTTATCCGGTCCCTAGCTAACGCACCCACATAGTGACCCTCGTGACTACCTGAAGCACGTTATGAAGTCTACGAACATGTCTTGTCTGACGCCAGAAGGAGCCATGTCGGGTGATTGCGATTTCCTATCTGCCAACATGTATGCTCGAAGTTTGTTCGGTGCGGTTCTTTCCACAGGTTTTGTGTCAGCATCGGTCTAATTTCGTGATGACACAGGCGAGGATGCTTTAGCCAATCTGAGCATCGAGAAGACGGAAGCTGGGATTGTAGGACACGTTCGTATTCGGAGCAAAACGCAGGGCATCGCTTTATCGCTGGGCGACCGTATTACGATGTGTGAGTGTATGTCCTTGAAGGATATATCATGACGATTGATGGTTGTATATCTGTAGCTCAAAAGGATAGCAAGTCATCGATATACAGCGTGTAGACATGGACCAGATTACTGAACTGTACACATAGGATGAAGGAGACACATGAATGTTTGATACAATGCTAACACATGGTGATCGATCATTACATCAGTAGGTACCCAAGCGGTCCCCTACATAGCCAAATCTTTCAGCAACCTGGACAACGTGAAATCACTTGAAGCGCTTAGATACCCTTCTTTACCTTCACCTCCATCCACCTGTACCTTGGCATTTATCTTGAAAGTCCTGGTCTCCGTTCGCTGGAAAAGTGCGAATGGGATTGGAATCCAAAAGCGCATACACCACCCGACATTACCATCCCCGTCCTTGGTAGAACACCATGGGACCTCCCCAATATGAATTCCTCGAGACAAATCGGGTGTGGGCTTATCATTTACGTAGCGTATCGTAGCGCCATCATAAAATGTCTTGAACGAGATTTGGCTATGGGACTTGTAGGGACCATTCTTCGCCACTGTACTGCACTTGAGATGAATGAGAGTGACGGCCGGAACAAGTAGGGGGTCAAAATCATGCGTGGAAGTACATGCAATCAGGAGTTGCGCCGGGAAGATGTGGAACGCGCTACACATGTAGAAGGTACTGAACACGGGTACAACTAGCATCTAGAATGAACTCACTGGTCAGGCTCATCCCATGTCGTGACATGGCGCTCGTCGCAGCTGACGTTCATGGAAATGTTTTCCAATGGTAAGGGATACTTTCTGGGTGTATCGTTGACCGTAGTCTGTAAGTGAGGCTCTAGGTTTCCAATATTGTCGGAATCGCGATTGGATAATGCGAAAAGAAATGCTTGAAATATGGCTGTTTCTGCAGCGCTATCCACTGTAGAAGACAGTGAGCGCTGCAGTCTACGGACAGATGATTTCCTTGAAGATGTCTTGGTTGGAGATGCTGTGGGGTTGTTGGCTGCGTGCTGAGCAGGAATGGTCTTGCCAGGAACAAGACACACTGTCTCGGACGTGTCTAAAAGTCGACGAACAGATCGGAGAGCATAGAGCGTGTCATCAATCGATGAAGATGACGACTTCCTGTGGCGAGTAGACCGCGGCGGGACCTCCAAATTTTCGACGCCTAATGCAAAAAGGCTTGCTAGATCCGAACTTGGAATGTGGGTCACCAAATCTTCTTTCCCTAAGCGTCTGAGAGCGCGCTTCATGCATTGGCACGGACCACTGCCAGTCACTGGAGAGCAATTGGCAGCTGTGTCAACAGGGGGTTGATTGTAGCTGACACCTCCAATGGAAGATCTGAATCGAGGATCAACAGCAGGACACATTTAGCACACTATGGTCGTACTAGTAGGTCTGGGTGAGATTACCCACAACATGAAACATGTATATAGAGCTCATGCTTATGTGAGGATTTTTCGTTGAGTAAAATCGCTTGGACTTGACTAGTAGTAACATGAGGCCAACACGTGCGCGTGAAGTTGGGCCTTGGACGTAATTGACGAGCCTCACATATTCTACCATAATAGGTCATTCTTTACCAAGCACGCTCGTAATACGTTGGGACCACGCAAGGTTAACAAAGAGGTTTGAATATACGGAACAACACATGGATGCTCGCTGGGGGCCATTTATAAAGCTTTGAAGCGGCGGTGCTTATGAATCTCGAACGTAGGTTCTTCTAACATATGCAACTCAGTATCATCTGGGCAACACTTATTTAGGACTTATTTCCGTCATCGACGCTCGAATCAACTGAACCATGAGCACATCTTTACAGTGCAAACCCACTCGGTTGTACATCCAACGTGTTTCTTCCCGCCCTGACCAGCTGGTCCGATGCTTGCCCTCTGCCAGCAGTCACATCGTGTTAAAGAATGGACGTTGTCACGTTGCTCAGCTTGTGCCCAAACTTCACGCAAGTGCCATCTCCATTTCCAGCCTGAGTAAGTTATCCGTGAGTCCACATGAGTTTGAGAATACTTACATCCCTCGTTGTTCAACTTTTGAAAAGGTCATAGTTCTGCTGATGAACAGCGCATCGACGGGTATGTCTTGTATTTTCGATCAAGTCTTGTGATGATCAACTGACCGGATCGTTTCGATGAGTAGCCGTCCTCATATAACTGCCAGCGCCCCGTTATCATGATGCCAGCTTCAATCCTCCGTCTTCCGATCTAATGAAGCTTGTGCCAAGACTTTCGCTGAAAGGTCGGAGACTCCAGATACTAGGGCATCTATTCTGGCACATGATGAGGCCCCCTGCGCCGAAACTTGAGATGTCAGGGCACCTATTCTGCGTCTATGCTCCTTAGGGTGTCGTTTTGGTAGTGGTATTAATTATCTTTGCAAGGTCAGCATCATATAGTTGGTTCAACAATGCAGCACGTACTGGTATCTATGGCGACCATCGTCGTAAATTCGCTGAGGGAGGTGCTGCAGCCTATGGATTGGGGTGAGCTGAACCTAAGGCTGCCCGTGGGCACTACTACCATTGGGGCCCGTTAGTATAGGTAGCGCCAAGCATTGAATAAAGACAAACAAGACGCAATATTAGGCATGGCCGTGTAAGACTTGGTGAACACGTACTATTTAATGGGACATTCAAAGTTGAGTTTCGCGGTGTTTTCGACACCGTTTTCAATTCCGTTTAGCAGTGTTGACTGGGGCGTCGGACTCTGGAATTCGGAAGGCACTTGGTTTTTCGAAAGTCCGTTCCGTCCGTCCATCAGGCCTCAGGCCTAGGTCCGGCCGGCAACAAATAGCTAGCGCAGAGTCGTACATAGTATGCTGCATACTTCTGGCGTTCCTCTCCCAGCTTCCTTACTTCCTTGATGTTTCGCCGAACATTTCTTCAACTCAGTCTTCTTTCGCCTCCCCCTACTATCTCATATACTTCAAAAACATTTGCGTGGCATGACCATACACTAAGTTGAAAGAGATACCATGTCGCCCTGCCACGCCAGACAATGAACTGCTCTCAACACATCCATATTTGAATGTTGCTGTCGCATACCCAGTATTTTCTGTGGTGTCTGCGACATTTGGCACCTGCTACCGCAATGACCGTCCGGCGTTGTCAGCAAGGTTTTTCACTATGCGGCCATTATGTACAGTCCAAATGTTATCACCGCACGGCGCGGATGCTGGCATTGCCTTATCAACCCAGGTTATCAACGTGAGAGGCACTCTTCTATTCTCATCGGCAGTCTCCTGCTGAATTTGACATTTGGAAGACGTCAGGTATCAGTAATTGCACGATTGGGTATTTACAAGCCTGAAGTACTCCTGAAGTTCATGACTCAAATTGCCACCACTTCTCTCCCGTCCTTGCGTTTCAATCATGCTACAACTGCCTGACCTACGCGTTTTTAATAGCACATGGCAACTCGTCCTCGCTACTGCGACTTGTCTTGAGATACTAGTAGGAGTGATTTCTCGAGCTTACCTCTCAAAATCAGAGAGCGGCCTCCCTCTTCCACCCTCCCCTCTCACTCGGAGACTTCGGGGGCACTTCATACCCCCTCGCAAGTAAAGTTTCGCATTTCACTCATTGCTTTGATGTTCATTGTGTGCCATCACCATTCAGCCCATTTCTCACTGTAGCGGAATGGATTGACGAGCACGGACCTGTGATTACCATTCGTTCAAGAACTGAGAAAATCGTTATTATCGGCCGCCACGACGTAGGTTCCTCCAAGCTGACTTGTAATGTCAGGCTCAGTATATTGCAGGCCGTCGTGGATATCACGGAGAAGCAGGGCGGGTTGCTAGCTGACCGTCCTCGCCTCGTTGCTGCTGGAGAAATCTACAATGGTGGATTGTCCGTCATCTTTATACCTTCTGGGAACATGTGGCGTCGGATGCGTAGGTTCGTTCGTTTCCCGCAACAATGCCCTAACTTCATCGATGTGATACAGAGCACTTCATACGCATCTCCAGCCTAAATCAGCTGAGGAATATGAGCCCCTGCATATGTCACACGCAAAGAACATGGTCATCGACATTCTTGAAGATCCAGCTAACTTCCAGAACCATGCGGCAACGTAAGCGCTGTCCTATTGTATCAGTGTGATGCTCATGAGTGTTTTCAAGTTATGCTGCAACAACGATTACGAAAGTTGCCTACGGCCAGACCACGCCTACATCTGCTACTGATCCTGAAACCATATTTTTCCGCGAGAACCTTCGATTACTTCGTACAACCCTGCGCCCTGGCGCTTATATTGTTGACATGTTCCCGTGGCTCAAATACCTTCCTTGGTATGCCCAAGAGTTAAAAAGGGGGTTTAAAAGGGGCAAGCAGCTCAACACCGATCAGCTGAACCGCGTGGAACGGCAAATTGTACGCATTGTCTCGCCGATCTTCACGCGGTGTCTAAATCCTTCCGCAGCAGAACAATGTGGATGTCGGCCCTTCGTTTGTGAAACATATGCTAGAAAATGTTCAGGTTCATGGCTTGACAGAGACGGAGATGGCTTTTCTTGCTGGCACTTTCTATGTAGCAGGATTTGATACGGTAAGGCGTTTTGTATTGTCATTTTCGAATATACGGATTGAAGTCCTTAGACTACTTTGGCGATATGCACGGTGCTCATGGCAGCTGCATGTTTCCCTGATGAGCAGGCTCAAGTCCAGGCCGAGCTGGACGCGGTCGTAGGAAGGGATCGAGGTAGGTCGATTCCTATTGCAAGTGTATCGATTCAACGATGTCTCCTCCTCAGTACCGACCTTCGCTGACGAACAGTCCCTCCCTCGTCTGCATGCCTTCATCTCCGAGGCTTTGAGATGGAGGCCGCTAGTTCCCAGCAGTGGGTATCATCATTGTTGGTCACAAACTTAAGTTTACAAGTTTCGCACGGCAGGATTGCCTCACCGAACGACCAACGATGTGGTTTGGGCAAGTACTTTCTGACCTACTGATTGTGAAAATAATGACTGGGCCCATCAGAACAACTATTGTATTCCAGCTGGGACTACGGTAATCGGTCATCATAAAAAGTAACAGGGGACTGACAGATAATGCATCAGGTCCATCTCTCGAGACCCAGACGTCTTCCCAGAACCTCATACTTTTAAGCCTGAGCGCCGGACTAGTGATCAAGGTTGCCTTAGGGACGACCTTAAATCCTTCGTCTTTGGGTTTGGTCGTCGGTAAGCAACTGTTCTTCTGGACACTCGACTTTTACTGACTCGTATTTAGCGTATGCCCCGGTCAACACGTCGCAACCAGGTATACGTTTCCTTCTACACAAATGTTCTAAGCTCACCCTGATTGCTGCAGGTCGGTGTTCATTAACTCGCTTCTTATTCTTTGGGCCTTCCGTCTGACTTTAGATCCTACGAAGCCCCTCGATGACATGACGTACATGAGGGGAGAGGATCAGCCATCCTTTGTTGAATTCAAGGCGAGGGTTTCAGAGGCCGAGCTCAGACAGATGATGCAAAATGATCCTGTGTGAGAAACTGAAAATGATCGTGGGATCAATTGCTTCGGGTCATCTCGTAGTAAAAATTTGGTCACAAGTTCCAAGTATCTTACTAGTAGTGGTACTGTAGCTCAGACGATGCAAACTGCCTTACTTTCGGATTAAATATTTATTTATAGTGCAGACACGGTCTGAAGTACAAATTGAGTTATCGTGTCACGTCTTGGCCATTTCAAGCTTCAAGTTCTTACTTAAGTAACTGCTCCAAGTTTGTCTTTACACATACCACTACAGCAAATACACAAATGGCCGTACGTCGAGTTTTCTATTATCTTTTCACCAGCTGATCGCCCTCGAGGACCTCTTTGCCCCAGATGAGGATGTTTTAAGCGACTTTGTCCCCAGCAACATCGTGTCGCGTCAGGTTAGCAGCCAGCATGCCTTATTGTAACACCATACTGAAATTGAAGTACTGTGTTTGCTTCTTAGCAAAGCGAGGGAGCCGATGACGGCGAGAGCGAGTACATTGACGAGGGAATGAGTGCTCAGGAAGATGAGCTTGTCAGCGATGATGAGCAGGAGGCGCGTTCATGACATTGCCTCCTCACGTTCAACCTCGGTTCTAACCTATCATGTGTTCGATTAGGGACCTGTCGCTGGTAGTTCATCTCCATCAAAGTTGGCAAAAATTCAGCAAACCGTGGAGAGGCAGCAAAAGAAGCGAAAGCGCAAGGCTGAAGAGAGTCAACTCCATGTCAAACGACAGGAAATGGACAAAGCGAAGGTGAGTGCGCGTGACCACTAGGAGCCAGCTTTTTTTATCCCGCTTTAGATTACCGATGCTGTCAAACGATACTCGTACCTTCTCGGTCAGACGGATCTTTTCAAGCACTTTGTCGATATTAAGGCGCGTTATATCATGTCAGTCCCATCATATTCTGCTCACCGTCTCGTAGAAAACTCGTGATCCGCAATATGCTGCTTTATTGGACTCACAGCCGAAGCCAAAGGGTAGGGGTAGAAAGAAGGGAGCGTGCGTCATCCGCGTTTCTTCTGTGTAACCACCGACTAATTCTTTGAGAAGCGACGAGAACGCACGCCATCGCAAGTCTGAGAAGGAAGAAGATGAAGAGCTGTTGAAAGATGGGGGATTCGCTGCAGATGGAGACGACCAACCCTATGTCTTTGAAGAGTCACCGAGCTGTACGTGTCGCCCAGTTCCACGACTGGCCACGCTAAAACATAATTTCAGACATTAACGGTCAGATGAGGACATATCAACTTCAAGGACTGAATTGGATGGTCTCATTGCACCACAATGGGTTGAACGGTATCCTCGCCGACGAGATGGTATGTGGTCTCTTAACTTCTAATGTTTTACTTTAATGCTCACTAAATTATACAGGGTCTCGGTAAAACATTGCAGACCATCTCTTTCCTTTCCTACTTGAAACATTATCGCGATACTCTTGGTCCCCATCTGATTGTTGTCCCCAAATCCACCCTTCAAAACTGGGCTCGCGAGTTCGCACAATGGACACCAGATGTGAATGTCGTCGTTCTGACCGGCTCAAAGGAAGAACGCGCAGAAATTATCGCCAATCGGCTCATCCCTCAGGATTTCGATGTCTGCATTACCTCATATGAAATATGTCTCATCGAAAAGTCGGCACTCAAGAAATTCTCTTTCGAATACATCGTGATTGACGAAGCGCACCGTATCAAAAACGTTGATTCCATCCTCGCTCAAATCGTCCGCTCTTTTATGTCACGTGGACGTCTGCTTATCACGGGAACGCCGCTGCAGAACAACCTCAAGGAGCTGTTTGCGCTTCTGAACTTCATCTGCCCTGAGATATTCTCAGATTATGCGGATTTGGATTCTTTCCTACACAAGGATGACGATGATGCGGAGGGGGAGGAGGATAAGAGTAAGAAAGTCGTGGAAGCTCTTCACAAAATTCTTCGTCCATTCCTCTTGCGGCGTGTCAAGTCCGATGTTGAGAAGAATCTTCTGCCTAGTACGTTCAAACGATACATGCATATGCTTACGCTAACACTGCCTTGCCCGTAGAGAAGGAGATTAACATTTACGTTGGCCTGACGGAGATGCAGCGGAAGTGGTACCGGTCAGTGCTTGAGAAGGACATAGATGCTGTCAATGGTGCGCTACTCCTCGGCTTTGCTCGTTTCATTCATCTCACCCACTTCCAGGCTTGACTGGAAAGAAAGAGGGCAAGACCCGCCTAATGAACATGGTCATGCAGTTGCGCAAGGTGACATGTCACCCTTACTTGTTCGACGGCGCAGTACGTCTATCGTCATCTCTTTCACTCGAAACTGAACCGAGTAACTTAGGAACCTGGTCCTCCGTATACGACCGATGAGCACCTCATCCAAAACTCGGGCAAGATGATTATCCTTGACAAACTTCTGAAGTCGATGAACGAGAAGGGCTCTCGTGTACTGATTTTCAGTCAGATGAGCAGAGTGCTGGATATCCTTGAAGACTATTGCCTGTTCAGGGGTTTTAGTATGTAACATCTCAAATTTACCATCTTCTGAATTGACTTTTGGCTCATTGAACAGAATACTGTCGCATCGATGGTAGCACAGCGCATGACGATCGAATCGTAGCTATCGACGAATACAACAAGCCCGGCAGTGACAGGTTCATATTCCTTTTGACCACGCGCGCCGGCGGTTTGGGTATTAACCTCACCACCGCTGACATCGTCATTTTATATGATAGCGATTGGTTTGTTATCTATCTTTGTATCCCTCTATTTTACTCATCCATCTTCAGGAATCCCCAGGCTGATTTGCAAGCTATGGATCGAGCGCATCGCATTGGGCAAACTAAACAAGTTTACGTATTCCGCTTTATCACTGAGGATAGTGTCGAGGAGCGCATGCTTGAACGTGCTGCGCAGAAACTTCGGCTCGACCAGCTAGTCATTCAACAAGGTCGCCAACAACAAGCAAAAGGTAAGATTTTCATCAGGAGTTTTCTTGCAAGGCGCTCACTGGTCGAGCACAGCTGCCAGCAAGGACGAGCTGCTTGAAATGATTACACAAGGTGCTGACAAGCTCATTAACTCGACTGATGCGTGAGTTACTTGACATTACACAAATTTTATGTTTCTTGATCACTGCCAATCAGATTCTCCATCAACGACGACATTGAAGCTATTGTTCAACGCGGTGAGGAACGTACGGCAGAGCTTAACAGCAAGTATGAGGGCCTCAATCTTGAGGACCTAAATAATTTCAAGTCCGATGCCACTGTGCAACAGTGGGAAGGCGAAGATTTCCGGCCAGGTGTACGTTTGTATCTCAATTTTGACGTGGTCTCGAGTGTTCTGAATCATACATCATCATTCAGCGGAAAGGCCTCAACTTCAATATGCTATCCCTCTCGAAGCGTGAACGGAAAGCTAATTACTCCGTCGATAATTATTACAAGGAGACGCTTCGGGTTGGTCCGTCGAAGACCGAGAAGGCTCCAAAACTCCCTCGTGCCCCCAAACAGATCTCAATGTACGTATAACTTCTGTTCTTACCCTCTCATGTCAATTAACTTCTCCCTGCAGACAAGATTTCCAGTTTTTCGACCCCGCTCTGGCCCAGCTCCAGGAACGAGAACTTGCCGTGCATAAGGTATGCACTTTTTAACCATGTTTCTATTTGTTATTCATTCTGTAACTAGAGGCAAAATGGGATTACAGCTACTCTTCGTGAATCAGGACCTGACGACACACCCGAAAAACTCGAAGCCGAGCGCGCAGCTGCGCAAGAATTCATAGATACCGCCGAGCCTCTGACGGAAGAGGAGCAGGCACTGAAAGAGAAGTACACCGAGGCTGGCTTCCATGATTGGAGTAGACGAGACTTCCAGCAGTTTGTCCGCGCGCTTGAAAATTTTGGATGGTATTTTATTTTCTGCTTTTCTGTGAGGTAGGTTGCTGACGAACGTCTAGGACAGATGACTACGATTTGTTAGCTTCGGAGATACAAGATAAGGACTGGAGACAGGTCAAGAGGTACTACCTGTACTTCAAGAAGCACTGGAAGGAACTATCTGGTAAGCATATCGGTCAGCTGTATTCTTCCAAGTCCTAACTGACTTATCTGAATAAAGAACATCCAAGAATTGCTGCACGTATTGCTGAAGGTGAAGCCAAGCGTAACAAGCGGTCAAATCTCGAATTTCTACTTGCGAAGAAGATTGCCTCAGTGCGCTATCCCATGCAAGAGCTTGAACTCAACTATCCGACTACGAAAGGCAAGGTCTACAGCGAAGAAGCGGATAGATACCTCTTGTGCCGGCTGAACCACTACGGGATGGGCGCGGACGACATCTACGAACGTATCAAGAAGGATATCATGGAGTTTCCTGTGTTCCGCTTTGACTGGTTTTTCAAGAGCCGAACCCCACAGGAATTGCAGCGCAGGTGTAATACATTGTTAGGCATGATCGAGAAGGAGGCGGAAGCAAGGCAGGCGGAGGAGGTGAAGCCGAAGGGCGGATCGCGAGGCAAGGTATGTTCGTCACTGCGTCTCGCAATGTACACCCTAATATTGGCAATTAGAAGCGTGGAATAGATGATGTGCAAAAGGATGAAACGCCACAGGAGTCGGGGTCACCTTCTCCTGTTCCGGCGCCGGCACCCAAGAAGTCACACAAGAAGAAAAGGTTGTAGATGGTCGTGCGTCCTATTTCAGTCTTTGTAGATAATCATTTTCGTCGTGGAAGTATTATATTAAACTTGAGCGAATGCCAGCTATATTTACCGGAGACCAACGACCATGACATTCACGATCAATTCATAGTCCCATTGTTATTGATCGTCATCTAATCACCATCTCGTTAACCATAGGAGAGCGCAAATTTGAGACACGACTGAGGCATGTGGCTCAATCATTATTGACTCTACCATCATTCTGACATATGATCCGCAGCGAAATACTTTTGCTGTCCCCTCGAACATCAATAATAAATCAGCTGCTCGTCCATTCAAGTATTCATGTCTTTACATTCATTGACTATAAACGAGTGGAAATGCAGAGAAGTCCCTGCATTGGGTATAAGAGTGATGCATATCGGTCTGTATTTCCCCTTGTTGAAGTAAGTGTTCACTGACAATTGTACTTCATGGCTTTGGCACTCGATTGCACGATAATAAGGGCGAGTACTTCATCAATGTAACCATGCGGCACTGGGCCGCTTACCCATGCATCGCTTATTCGAATTCAGGGCCGAACACCAAAATTTGTGACCGTCCACTCCGACCCTCCAATGTCAGGAACATCTGACGACTATCCAATTGTGCGTGCTTCGTCGAGTCAGCGTCCCGGAGATGATAATAAGTCTGAGAACACATCACGGCGCAAATCAGATGATATCCAAAATTCGAATTGACGATGCTAAAAGTGAGCAACCGCCCGCTGTCTGCATCATTGTATACGAGAAGCTGAGTCTACCAGATCACGAGGCTGAGCAAGGACGAGTTCCTCGATGCCTCAGCGAAGGGTGACAAGTCATGGTCTGTGTATATTCTTCCCTTCTCGGTGCACTCTTTGTTGTGCTGATTAGCTATCGTATTCTCCGGAGGAACGACATCCGTCACCGTAAAATCAGCAGTCGGCATTTCGGTGGTAGACCAATGAGTGGTTGGCTCCCTCGACGACTATGACTTGTCATCGACTCACAAAATTTCCATCAGCAATAAACGCTTAGGAGCAGATGAAAAGCTCCTGAGTAAGGGCAGATTGCTCCATGCTAATGCAAGAATGAAAGTTCTTCCAAAGTCCATCGTGATTCAGGATTTAAATAAGACAGCGACGGTTGTCGCACCAATCAAATTGGCAATCTTGAATTCAATCTATCTTGTTTCATTTCAAGGTCACACACACATACGCTAGATGGATTAGTCTGTATTTCGAACGTGGCTACGACGTCAAAGAGCTTCAGTATTGTATTTGCAAAAGTTCAGTGCATCACAAGTTAAAAGGGATTTATTACTGCCTGATACAACCCACTGAAGCCTCAGCTGAGCGCTGATATAGATAGCTCAAGCTGGTTACGTCTTGAAGCTTCAATGATGGTGGATGTAGTCTGGACGTGATTTCTTGTTTGAATGAGTCTGTCCGTTGAATATGCGAAGGCATGAGTGCAGCAACGATCAAGGAGTAATTTCTGTTCTGTCAGTTCTGGAGAACCTGAAGGTTCAGCGTAACTGACTTCTATGGACGGTGCGCCGATTAACCTTGCAAAATTAGCGTGTATTCTAATCAAGAATAAGTAAGCAAAGCATGATACTAGAGTCTACACTGCAATACAACAATAATGACAGACCCTATATGTGCACTATCCGACAACAGGCAACTTAGATGGTGATTCCAGTAAGGGGGCATGCAATAGATGTTACATTCAAAGCTCAGACCTGTGAACTTGTGTAATGATATCCATGTCGTCACTACCACCGAAGGTTGTGTGGTGGCTCTCCAAGCTGAAGACGCGGGACCCAGATTGAGGACATTCGGTCCCCTGAAAGCTCTCCGACTGTTGAAGTGGCGTAGGAGCGTCGACATAAACCTGAAGGATGGAGGGTTGGTTAGGTGGTACATTTATTCGCGCGGGAGGGTCGGGGAAATCGGAGAGGGTGGACATGCGTGAGTACTCAGACCCGCTGGTCATGTAGCTCGACCGCATGGCATCGGCGGAGACGGGCGGCGATTGCATTGGCGTGATGGGGCTGACCAGGTCAGCTTCTTCGGCGGCATCATGGATCGAAGCGTATGTAGAGGATCTATAAGAGCCCTGGTGAATGGTGGATGTTCCTGCAGCGTCAACGACATCTTGTCGGATGGGGTGACCTGTGAGAGACGTTCGTTAGCCACTGATCAAATTCGACAGAGTGTCGCGTACCAAAAGTGTCATTCTCTTGTGAGACGATCAAAAGAGAAGACGCTCGAGAGGATTCGATATCTTCTGGAACACCCATTTCAAAAGGTGCATCGTAAAGCTGGGCTGGCGATTGGGTAACAGCACAGGGATCGACCTGCACCGGTGAAGAAGTCCTCGACATGTCCATGAAGATATACGTTTGAGATAGTTCATCCGATCGTTGATCCCCTGGTCCGCCCGATCTTTGCCCATAGGAGATATCCGAGGCCGCGACATGCAGCTCTCCAATCTCGCTCATACTTCGCATGAGGTTGGTGAGCGCGCTCCCAGAATAAGAGCTATGGATATCCGACGGTATACCCCTGCTGGTTTCGCTTGTGTCCTGATGTTTTACGCTAGATTTTCCACTGGACAACCTGTTCTGGGGAGGCCTGTAGAACAAATCTTGAAATTCGTCCAAATCATCATTATCCAAAGCTGAAATAACAAGATGTGCGGAGGTGATGTTGGTCGTGGTACGGAGGGTACCAGGAGAGTAGGCGGAGTCCCTGCCTTCGACTGCTGTCACAGATATCCGACTCGGGGGACGAGTGGAAACGACCACAGAATCAGAAATGGGTAGCCGGGATTGACTATGACCGGAGGCTATGGGTGTAGATGTCAGGTCTTTGGCCTTCCCTTTGTCTATGATTCGACTCAGAGTATCCTGCTGACACGGGATGATGGTTCCCAAAGATTGATCCTCGGAGTCACTTTCCTGCTCGTCTCGCGATGGCGCAGCAAATACAAGAACCTCACCAACGCCATACTTCTCGAAGTCAGGACTACTGATGGATATGTGGTTATCAGGTGTGAAACCATTGTCTTCCTGCACAGCGGTTGGTGGGACCGGAAGGGTAGGAAGGACAGAGTTACTAGGCTGCTGTGCATGTGAGTTTGCCGGCTCGCTCAATGCAGTGGCGTAAGGATGTGAAATTGCACCCGGCTGCATTGCCCGCGGAGGCAGCCTATGACGCATGCTGACATCGTTTGTAGCAGTATTAGAAGGGAGTTGGGGGTCGTAGGCTGATGGATGTGGTCCAGCATAATCAGACATTTTGAGGGGATGTTGTAGACCATGCTCAGAAGATGAATTAAGATACTGTGTATATATGGCACCGTTGGCATATGGATGGCTGGGCATGCTCGGGAGTTCGGGATTAGGACAGAAGCGGTCGTCAGAAGGAGGGGGAGATGAAAGTGCGATACCGACTCCTTCCCCGCTTGATGTAGTCGGGGCTGGGGAAATCCCTATAACGATGACGGATCCCTCGTCGGCTTCGTTGTGCGAAGGGTCCGCAGGGTCAGTCAAATGTATGACTTTGGTTTCCTCCGTCATAGGTTTCAGGGCTGTTTTCTTGCTGTCAACAGGGGTGCCCAGTAAATCACTAATATCTCCGCAAGGTGCACATGCTTTAAGCAGGGCAGTTTTGCCCCAGGAGTCATTGCGGGCATGTCGAGCGCTTTGAGGTTGAGGATCCGCGAGCGACCTTTGCGAATTGGATTTACCAAGGGAGTGTGACTGTGAGTGCGTGAATGAGTATGAACTAGAGCGCCCGCGAGAATTCGAACGAGTGTGTGAGTGGGAATGAGATCGGGAGTGCGAAGTTCTTGCAACGTTAATGGTGGGGGTAATGCTCTGACCTCCGAGGAGCGTCCGTGCAGCCAGAAATTCTAGGGTCGTACTGCCCTCCGACTTGTGCCCATGACTCCGTGACAATGACCTGGCACGAGCACGGGAGAGGGAACGGGTTCGGCTGTTCCCCAACGAATGTGAGGCCTGGTGTTGCCACTGCCTTCGTTGTTCTTCTAGAGCCTCGCCTTCTTCAAGAACTCTGCAGGGGTACTTGGTTATTGGCTAGCTACCTACAAAAATTGGAGCTTACTGGGTTAATGATGGTACGGAGGTTGACGGACGGAGTTCATGTTGCGCGGTCGATGCGCCCGGTACAAATTCTGACTCCTCGAGGTTTTTGTCCTCGATTAAATCTGGATCTGGGTCTAGATGTCGTTTCATGGGCGCAGTACGAGGTCTGCCAGAAATAGAGGGGCCAGACAGGACATCAATAGCCGACCTGGATTTCAACAAAACATGGTGTTTCCTTGGTGCATCAGTTGTAACCAACGACACTTGTGGTCTTCCGCCAAGCATAGCAGGGCTGAGGTGCGGAGTGGCACCCTCAGCGACAGACGTGATTGACGGACTTAAGATTCGTCCACTACTTCCTCCATGCGACCCATGTGCGCGCTTGACTTTGAGGCGTGGACGTGGAAAGAACAGTGCGTCGCACCATGTCTCGGGAGATAGCCAGCGTTCGACGCCTGCTACCGGCGGTGTTGACTGTGTGCTCTGTTGCGAAGGTTGCTTGTCGTGTGAGGTTGCAAAAAGATTCGGGGTGGAGACAGAGAGCTTCAGTGGTGAGGTCAAGGGACGTGCATTTTTAACCGATGCGGCGGCACCGTCACTGCGAGGGTCGATCGCATAGGTGAGTGCCCGATTACGCCGAGTGGGATTATCCTGCGAGAAATGAGTATGTTGTGAGCCCGAATCCAGTTGTTGATGTCCTTGACGAGATTGTTGAGAGGTTCCGGGTCGAAAAGCAGACACAGAGACAGAGGAGGATGTATTTGCATATGGGTGAGCCATGCAGATAGTTGGAGAATTATAGTTTGTGGTCGGGAATGAAGGGAGTGAGTCTTGGTCGGGTTTTCCGTGTAAGTTGAGGTGCTGGGCGGAACGTTGCTTGGAGGGAGAGAGATTCATAACGTCAACCCGTGGCGGGTAATGGAGGGTCTGACTTCTGCGGGATGGCTGTGCCAATGCGGCATAAGGTGAGTCAAAGTGATTGCTAGTATTGGGACTAGAACCTGGAGGTTTCGCAAAATTAACATTTTCCTGGAGTGTACTATGCTGAACAGAACTGGGAGGCCATGTCCCCAGCGTGTTAGTCCGAATAATAGGGGATACTGGTGTACTAGTTGATTGTCTTTTTGGCTTTTTGCTAGACCCGAAGCCGAAGAACCGACCTATTTTTTTCTGGGGGGACGATGTTGCAATACGCTGCATAGGCATCGGGGATTCACCAACGTCAGCGCCAGCATCCATGCTGGTGTGAGTGGGAATTTGCAACCGCGGTGCACTCGCCTGCCGCCGTCGAGGATGTGGCCGTATCGGGTCGATGACACTTGATGAGCTCGTAGTATGCTTCATGAAATCAGAGCGAATACGAGTTCTGTGGGAACTGGTTGAGTGTGCAGGTAAACCTGGTCCCAATGGCTCGGCATCGTTCACAGACGTATCCGGTAGCGGTCTGGTAATTGAGAGTCTTCCAGAAATGCGTTTATGTCATCCTGTCTACAAAAGTGTCTCGTGGTATCTTGCTTGGCCATTGAGACGCTCTTGGGTGGTTCTAATGGACCATTGTAGGGGATATACCAGTCCTCTTCAGGATTTTCAGCATAAGGAGAGCGAGATGAAGATCCCGCTCTGTGACTGGGAGCAAAACCAAGCCGGGGTAACATGGAGAACGGGAGGCTGCTGGTAGTCTTTGTGCCCATCAGATTCGGAACGTGTGAGAACGAAAACTTCAAGTGTCGATCCTGTAGATTGCAAAACTGTATGATGTAAGGTTGGGAAATTGAGTGAATCGTAAAGACACCACGTACGTTGTGACTAGTACTTGAAGAAATCAGCTCAAAAATGACCCCACACTATTTTTTTTGCGGCAAGAACAGAGCAAGATATAGCCCAAGCCTCTCCGCTTGATACTTGATGACATCGATCAACACGGCTCCAGACAAGCAACGGATGCAAGCAGTGCCTCACCTATGATGAAGATAAAAATAAAGAACAGATAAAGAACGGAATAACAGTCATGAATGGGTTATGAGAGTGTCCCCGTATGAGGCCGGTGCCCTTACAGTGCGCACAGAGCCTGCGCTTGGCAGCCGCACTAGTAGTTAAATTTCAACAGGTCGTAAATGTGTTGAAATCACACCCGCGTGACTGTGGAACCACGTGTAATCATCACTTACCTAAGTAGCTACCAAAATCCCAACTGTTAGCCTTTTCGGTATCTATCACTTCCCGGTGGACACTCTCGGTCATACTAATGACAGTCACCATGTGCACGAACGTTTACATGTTACAAGGCATTCGTAATGGCATGTTATCATCATCGAACAGCATTTCTTACCAGGGAATACCGCGAACCACTAGGGAGTGGGCTACACCGATAGGCTCCGGCCTGGTCTTCTTTCTAAGGGTCCCCTACTTCACCGCGACATAAACTTGCAATAGAGATCGAGTCGGATGAGCGACATTGGCTTAAATGTGGCTCTCCGCAGACCTCTATCTATAGCACAATCACTGGGAACGTCGGTGTCAGGACTAGGTGCTCGGCGTGCTCGGCCTGCAGGGTCTAAAAAGTAACCCTTATGCTTTCGGCATCTCAAGTCTCCGGGTCCGACCTGCATCCTCCCGCATCACTTCCTCACAATTTCCTCAATTGCCTTCAAGCGTCACCAATATTTTTGCTCTCACATCCCATGTAGGATTCTTGGTATCGTCCCTTGAAGATGTATGGGTACGAGGCTACGCTTCTATATCTCTCAGCCATAGCACTGATAAGCACCACATGAATGCATCCTAAAATGAAGTTCGGGCCCTAGCGGCGCAGTGAATTAACGGGTGCATGGGATAACCCAATCGGAGCATGAGGTATGTGTGAAGAAGGTATTACTACTGCCCATCCCATTTAAGAAGGTACTCCCATATCAAGGAGTGTACGTGGTAAATGTATGTTCACTTGCAAAAAATTCTCAGTCGGAAAAGAAAACTAGATACGAGGGAAAAACTCACGTATAAGCAAATCCAACGCGATTGCTATCCGTGTCGAAAACCTGTAATTCCATCAATATCCAGACTATATAGCCACCTCGTGATTCGACAACTCACAGCATAGTACTTCTCCATGAACTTTTGTCCGATAATGAAGTCTAGCCCTTCGCCGCTGTTAGTCCCTAAGTACGAGACAATGCCGTACTGCGTGTTTGCTGACAAGCCCCATGCGGTGTTCTGGTCAATCGGAATGAGTTGTGCTGCAGCGTCGAGACTAAAGACGGTGCCGCCGATAGTAAAGTTCAATGGTTGGATTTTCGAGACAGAGTTTTCAGGGACGGTCATGAGGCCCGTGCTCTCGTCAATCCTGGCACCAGGGATGGCACGCATGTAGGACTCGAAGAAGTTATCAGCGAGGAGGACCACTAGAGATGTGTGAGAAAGTATGCATGCGGATGGGTGGTAAAGCCTTACGAGTGGTACCAGTATCGACAATTCCGGCGGTTGACGTTGGGATTACGGTCGTTGTGGAGCCGTACGTCGCATCGGTGACATTGACACCCCAGTAGTAGCCAGCAGGATAAGTTGCGGTGACCGGCGTATAAGTGATTTCGCCGGTGTACTGGATAACTCAGAACCATTGTTTGGGACATACTTTTTGGGCTCACCAAAGACGAATCGATGCCTCCATAAGTGAGGGCTCCATCTGTGCGCAAGTTAGATCACCTTCAATTATACCACACAAGCTCTCTCACTCGTGTCATTGTAGCTCGTTGCAGGTGCGAAAGAGACACCTAATATTTCCTCTGTGATCAAACCCTGCGACAGGGCGTTGTTCATCACAGTTGGAATCAGCTCGTCGGTACTTGGTGAGAGTGTGCCCTCAGTCAGAATGACGGGGCCCACTCCGACGATGCCGTCGACGCCCTCGAAGTCGGCATAGGAAAGAGCATCACCGATGGACTGGTTGGTGATGGCAAAACCTGGAGCAAGCGTCACCTGGTCGAAATCTGAAGGACAAATCTTTAGATGTTACTATTCCTAAGCAGCCCAAAGACCTACACTCCAAGCCAGAAAAGTAACCACTGCCGTAAGTGACGTTGACGTCTTCACCGGTGAATATACTGGTCGAGGTCCGGACATATGGTATCCCAGTTCTTGAGATAAAATGAGATTTAGCCTGAATGAATAACCAGTCAGGTCTTACCCGACAAATGTATTGGAGCTACCAGTGTCGACAACTAGATTGTAGTACGTCGGAGGGCTGCCAACGCCAACACTGGTTGTGTACTGGACATATGCGAGGTTAGATGCAGGGACGGTTGTGGAACCACCAGAAGCGAAACTCTTAAGAAATGCAGCACGTGCACGATCTGCATCAGGCAGTCCGGCAAGGTATGAGTTAGTTGGCACAAGCTTCGTCAGGGGGATCCTAAGGAAACTTGAAGCCGATACAGAGGTCACGGTGACGAGGAGAACTGCGCGAAGCAGGGTTGAGAATGACTGCATGTTAAACAAAAGAGCGGGAACCTTATCAATGCATCATGAATGACCCCAAGAGGCTTATATGGGTCGGGGCGGCCACAGTACTGACAGGACTCGCCTGGAGAAACACATGGAAGTTAAAAGCGTCCATATGAATCGATGCAAATAAATTGGAAGACATGTGACAGTTTTGCAGCATGTTCAAATTTGGCAGCAGTGAAGCGCTGACATTTGAACGAATCAACCATAGGTAAGCACGCGATCAGTAATTCATGAGCAGTAATAATGCGAGATTGCTCAGCTCCGTAGAGCAGTAACATAGTCGGGCCTGTGGTGCCATTCCCACCCATCAAATCACACTCGTTCTCCTGTGCAAGAAATACCAGGTGCCGTATGGCTCCAGGTTAAATAATAGGCACACGAATAGCGTGGCAATAGTCCGAGAATCGGAGACCAATGAGGACCGCTTAGCCACGGAAGTCTAGCAGCACGGTAGTAGACGTACAAAAGTCTCCCGCAGTGAGCCCTCCTAGACATTTCTGGGTCGCTGTGGCCCTGTGCACATGCGACAGTAAGTGACGACTACAATTCCTGCTCGGTTTGATTGAGCGGCGATAGGCGAATGCCAGTGCCAAACTTGTACCAAACAAAACCCTTGTGGTACTCACGAGTTACCAAGATCTCACGGCCAATAAATTTAGCTTCAAATTTTGAACTCACACCGCGACTCGGAGCAACGTTGCTTCCGAGGTATCCTCTCCAAGTTGCGCTGCCTATATGCCAGTATGGAGGAGGAGTACTTGTAAAAACTCACGTCAAGAGCTCACGGCGGACAGTTCGGCGATATCATCCGATATGCATAGCACCGTCAATCCTCCGTTTCCCGCACCGCTTGAGTCGTATGATTAATTGATATCAGAGTTTTGGTGGAACATCCTCCAGTTTGCCCATGACTAGTAGTTCTCGAGAAACCCGAGACTCCTGATTCTTGCATCGACACGCAAGACATTTACTGGTCATGTACTGGAGCCTCAGGCTGGACCGTTGTGGTGAAACCTGTGAGGCCTTGCGCCGTTAATCAGATGTCTCCTATAAAGCTTGTGGAAATAGGATAACCAAAAACAGGTAAGTTGCACGCTGGCTTATGTTCGTATTTACTGTTACAGGACTTTCAAAGAGCCATGACCTCCGATGTGACTGTCGGTACCGAATTTTGGCATATCATTAGCTTCCCTTCCCTCTCCCCTCTTTTCCCAAACCGACGTATCTTACCTGGTGTGGGGCTAGCAATAAAACATTTCAATATATCTGGTTGCTACCCCGGAAGTGTTGACACTCAATGATTTCGTGTGTGTTTTCTGATGCTCTTAAGTTCTTTTTGAGACCTTCTCTTATTACTCCAGAAGTACTATTATTTTCCGTTAGTCTCGTGGAATGGATTCCGCACGGGCCCTGCCGATTTCGATTTCCCATCTGCCCAACACTTGTGCGAATAGCACGGCAGAGCGGGTGCTGATCTGCACCATTGAGCGGTCGGCTGATCAACACTCCGATTGGTGCTGCTACAACTTTTCATCTGTTTTTTGCCTCCCATAATCTTCGCAAGCTGGAGTTCGTCATCGTACCAAAATGTGGTGTGCAGTCCGACAACACCACCCATTTGCAGATACGGTCAAGGCGTGGTTATTGGCTATTCATCTTTAATTGTTCAAGACATGCATCACCTCAATTGCCTTACTCCATCATTGCTCGTGTCTAGTCTGATATCACGTTGCCGCACATTGGGTCTGCTGTGATGGAACATAAGTATCCCCTGACGGTCTCCACCAAGGATTTTCACACAATGCACTGAGTGTGGCACACTTCAGCAGCTCAAGGGTTGGTCATCCTACAAAGATCGTTGGTTTCATTTTGGTCGTCGCACCTGATTTGGTAGCAATTGATGCATATTTCTTTCTAACAGAATGATCCAGGCTTCATATACACAATACTTCAGCAGGTTGATCGTGTCTTTCTCCACGGAAAAATTTGGAAGTGAAGATGTTGGACGTCCACTTGATCACCACGGAGTTGTGCAACCGCTACAGGAAAACGGAAATGGGGAAGCAGCTGGTAGCGGCATTGGTGAGGATGAAGGAAATTTCGAGGAAGATCGCGGAAGTGAAGATGAATTCGTCCGACCAGCCTTTTTCAGCCTCATTGGGGAAGAATAATTCGAAACGTTCGCAGACGAGTACTCAATTTTCTTTGCGATGATTCGTCTTACTTTTTTCTCCTCGCCATGGAGTATCATTTGCAGCGCAACCGTCTCTTTCAATTTACAGACTTGCCATCGTTCTTTCGACCGTTTTTTGTTACAACATACATTCACTCGAACTCTCGTTCGTCACTTCCATCAATCTTTCGCTCCCCCGTCAATCTCATTGTAAGTATGATTGCAATTCTCTGTCAAGCACGTATTTACTTTGACTTGTACTACAGCATCTCCAATAGTTTTAGTCGGATTGAAACCATGTTTAGTCATGCTGAGATCCGTCATCGAGTCACTTGGTTCTTGCCCAACACCTGTCGTGGCAATGATACGCCTAATGACTGATGTGTCAATTGGTGCGTTGGTTGTGCTTGACATATCTTGACGAAGTTTCAAGCAAAGGTACCACTGATACCGAGAATAATAAGCTGGGTTCAACTTGATCAATTAAAGGCGCGATCTTGATGCCTCCAAATCTAAATGCATTGTGTCACGAGAGTACTCGATACTTCTTCTCCCTTGCGATCGCCATCACTGGGGGCGAGGTGAGACAACTTCTAAGCTACTTCAGGCCACTCCCGTGCAATGATATTCTGTCGCTCTTCTTCCGTCTTTGCGAAGATGATCAGCTTTATCACACCTTGCGCCTCCTCGAAACTCTGGAATAACCGGTGCTTGATCTTGTTTATGATGCAGTATTCCATCAATTCGTTCTCTCCATTCGGCTTGAACTTGACGAACAGACAAGTCGCCCCCCGCGCTGCGGATAAGTCTGAGACGCCATCACCAAAGAAGAATACGATGGGGGCAGGATCCATATTCCTGTATGGCGCAATCGCCTTCGACTTGTCATGTCCGAAACCGCTAATTTATCATTCTCAGTCAAACACGCAAACAGTGATGTGCAACGTTACCTCTCAGGATGACGGTATTGAATGTCCCAGCTCCCATCATCGTAGGTTTTCACCTCATTCGATATTATTTGAATGCCGTCAAGGCTGGCCAGGTACTTATTCAGGACTGCGCGGATAATAGGTTCCATACCACTGCGGAGGTATGAATGCACAGCACGGTGAAACCACAATTTTTTGTACCTGGACACAATTACCACGGGTATATCATTCATTTCGCAAAATTCGTAGAAGCCCTTGAAAGTATCATCGACTTTGATATCTGAAACAGACCACATCAGTAGCTGCACACAAACGCCTGGTGTAATGCGCAAACAAAACTTACTTTCCGCGACAGCATTTTTACAAAACTCAAATGTATGCGTCACCTTTCCTTCTTCCTTGCCATTCTCGTTGACGCTCACGATCATCTTCCGGAAACCATCCCTAAATGGCGAAATCAATTCGGCAGCTTCGTTTATGCAGAATGTTTCGCACCGGAAGTTATCTTCGCCTTTACGTATACGCTGATTGAGCAGAACGCGATCTGAGCGCCCCATCCCAAAGGTGTCCGTCACAACTGAATCGTAGTACTTTGATTAGAGCAAGGCACATAGTAAGTTCTCGACGCGACAAACAATCATTGGAGTCCTGCGTGGTGATCGTGCCATCCCTGGTTGAGCACAGCGAGCCTCAGTCAGTGTTATCGCCGCTTAGATCTAGATCTAGCGTTTACGCACCAATCGCTGAGCACGATAAATTTCTTGCCGTGGTGGATGACTGGTTCACTAAGAGGTGATTCCTGTGACATTGCAGAATAAGTACAAGGGGTTGTCTAGTATGTTTGGATATATCTTGTCTAGCAGGATATAGAAGGTATGAGTCAAAGATAGTGAAGCTGAATCCGTGAGATCTTGAGATATGGAGTGTTTCAGTGGTGGCGCAGGTCCAGGGTTGCACGTGCACGTGTGCACTGTGCACGTTGGTCGTTGGAGCTCCAAATCTTATCACATCTTTGATCAAAGCAAACTTCAAAGTTCACGCTATTTTGTTGGCAATATTAATAATGCAGTAAATTACTTCAATACTAATAAAGCTTCTATACGGACATAGGGATACTGTCGCAATAAAGTAAATGGAAAAACTAGGGACACAAACTTTGAAAGAAATACACAATTAAGCTGCACGGTTTCCATCCTCCACAGGAGGCTGGATCTATACCAGGCGGTGGACTATGATTTTAGAATAAAGGTGTGCGCGCATTTATCGCATCTACCAGTCAATCTCAGAAGGGAAGAATTTAGCAATGAGGTCTTGGTAGTATGGGCGAAGTTTTTCAATATCGCAAGGCTCGTCACTCTTCGAGTAGAGGTCATAAGGGTTGAAGGCGCGAGCGGCCTCAAGAGCTGCATGATCTTTCTCGTTCATGAGGTGGGTGTAAGCTCCTTCACGGTGCCATCTGGATAGACATTGTAAGAATTCGGTGGGCGATGCCGAGTGGGAGAGGCTTACGGATAAAAGCTGTGATATCTTATCATAGCAAGGCCTTCTGCAGGGAGGGAGCTCTGATCCTTAACGACATTGTAGAGATACTGTGAGAAGTTTGATAAGCACAGAAGAATACGATACGTAGACAGAAATATACCTCGTCATGACCCCAAGACACCATAACATTATCAAGGCCGCAATTAGGCTCATAAATTCCATACTTGGTAGAATAAACGGCGTCGTGGAAGTCTGGGTTGCCGGCGAAGGTACCGGGGTATATGTTTTTATCGGAGAAAGCACAGCCGACGACGAAGGTATCCTTGCGTCAAGAAGCGTATCAGTATGCAGGTCGTTACGAGTACCAGGTAAAGGAACTTACACCGACAACGTCCCACTGGCCTTCGCTGCCAAATAGGTACAACAGTTTACCAAGGTCGTGGATCAAACCGGTAACTTGCATCCATTCAGGCTTGCCATCGTGTCGGATGGCCTCGGCAGTCTGGAGCAAATGCTCGATTTGCGAAAGCTCAGTCTAAATATGTATTACAAGTCAGCAAAGGAAAGTCGCAAGCCAACAAATTACTGACGTCTGGATCCGAGTCGTCCACAAGCGTGTTGAGCATTTCCATAGCTTGCCAGATACCCATGCGAGCGCGTTTCCGGTTCTTGAATTCCGTGCGGGCCTTGATGTTAAAAGCTACGGTTTGTTTTTCTACGTGACAGTGTCAGTACCACATTGCGAATTAGTAAATTGAATGGATAAACAAACCATGTTGCTCCTTGTAAAAATTCTTGACGCGATCGCAGGCCGTCTCATACTGCCGGAAGGTTGTCTTGTCTTTGGTAGAATCGAACTCAGACTGAGAGTCCCAGATTTGGACCTTTAAAGCATTGACTGCAGAGAGACGGTAAGTCACATAACGAGGGCGGTGGAGCAGCAAGTACACACCTTCATCGACTGCGTCAGAAACAGCATCAAGCTCATGTCCGGCATGGGTGTTAACAACAACAGCAGGCATGTTTAGAGGTAGTAGTGAAATGAGGATTTTGGGAGAGGAGCAGGAGGGTTATTGGGAATGAGAGTCAAGGCAGGCTACCTTATATACGATTCCGACCATCGCGAACACCAACAGAACCTGAAACTGCCCTGCACCGATTCACCTACGTGTGTTTCCGCAAAATTGATGACGATAATTTGAAAGATTGACAACTTCCCTATTAGTATGTGGGTCCCTTATTTCAAATTAGCGCCGCGGAGCCTTTTCGCAACCACGCCGACCACGTGTCTCTTGCGTGGCTCCGATGCTTTCTCGGAGCTAGCGGAACTTGGTCTGTAGCAGACCACAAGTATTGCGTAGTTGGTGACCAGGTCATATGTCGTGCTCAACGTTAACCAGTACCGTGTAGATACTGCCGTCGTCGGCCGACATCTAGTAACACGTCCTGACTCGCCGTCAAGGTTTGCACAGGATCTGGATTTACTTGGTCTAGTAACTTGTTCTAACTCTCGTTCGCTTCCGTGATCCAATATTGACAACGGCAACCTGCATCTCACTCGCCGCTGGTGTGACAAAACATTCCGGGCCATCGCGCAAGAACAAAGACACCGACAGCTGAATTTTTTCTCTTGGTGCAGCCCTTATTCAGGTTCACATAATTCCTGAGCCCATCGGAACATAACAACTTGGCGTTGCGCAAAGCACGGTAAAAGTCGGACAAACCCATGGGCTTATGGCAGAACCTAAGTAAAGTTGCCGTCGGTACACCGTGCACGTATCAGATAGCTCCCGACAATGATTTGTTGATCAGCTCTCACTCACTTAAGCTTGGTCATCCTACTACTTAGGTATCCTTCGAGATTCTATTTTGCTGGCTGGGGCGAATTGAGAAAATTCCAACATCTCTCAACCTATTTGCGTCGACATAGAAATCTGCTCTAAGTACATGTGATAGGTCTTTCCGTCACCCGTGGCTCGTCAGGCCAACCGTTGCTCCATGGACTCTGATATATTTATGGTCACTCAGGCCTGCATGATCATCCCAGTATAGGTGATGGGTCAAGTTTACGAGCTGAGCACCTCTCCTTCAGGTCATACTTAATGATGGTCGTTTTCTTTGTGTTGGCACTTGCGCAATCACAGTATATAAGCCACTCATCGTCCTGAGACAAGTGATGAGCTGTCATCTCTATCCCGCGGACGATTGGCCATAGCCTCAAGGAGCACTTTCTGTCTTGCAGAGTGGCAGTACGCGTCCACGCTTGTTTACAATAGCCACCGCTAAAATCCTTGCTCCGACCCGAAAATTCTACCGCGCATCAGACTAGCTGTGTGGTCTACACCCTCATACGAATGGAGGCACTTGCTATTCCTGATTCGTGTCATCTCATTGTACGGTCGCATTGCATATGTTTCATGTGTTTACCAGGCCGTCGGTCAATCAATGGTGTGAAAACGTATTCATGAAAAGCATGCAGCTCTACTGATGCATATGGTTTCATGTCTGCCTTAGATGTTACAGTCGTGCACTCCGATTTACTCACTATCAATCATATACATCAATGAATGACTGCGCCTATTGCTCACTTTGTTGCAGTGGGCCAATTATCGAAGCCGAGGTCAATACCTGGATAGCACATTTCAGTACCATCACTTTCGCAGCTATTATTGACACTCACCCCAGGGTGGCATGATGAAACGCTTCTGCTTGCCACCCGCAGCTACACCGTCAAGGACTTTGATGTCCTCTGGTGTCAGCACACTGTATGCTTCGAGCGCACCGGTCAAGTTAGACTCGATACGGGATGGTGTCACTGATTTGGGAAGGACAATGATATCCTTCGCCACTGCGATGAGACACATCAACTACAATTCTTTTGCACAGAGCGAATGACAAGCATTAACGCACGCAGGTAGCCGAGAAGGACATCGGACGTGCTCTTGAGGCCATGCTTCTTTGCGATCTCTGTGGCAGACTCATCGGTCAACAGTGGAGAATTGGTCGAACCAAGGGGCGAGTACGCCTGTGGAACGATCTTCTTCGACTTCAAGTAATCAAGAAGTTCGAGCTGCGGATTGTACAGATGAATTTCAAGCTACATGTTTCAATGGTCAGTTTTCAATGGTGACATTACGTCCAACACACCTGATTAACAGCCGGTATGATCTCAGCTGTCGGCAAAATCTTATCGAGTACCGTCTGGGAGAAGTTTGATGCGCCAATTGACTTGACTTTACCCTTCTTTACCATGGCCTCCATACCCTTCCATGTATCCCTGATGTCCCAGGATTCATCAATGTCACGGTTTCCGTTCGGGCGCATCGGCATGACAGGGTGATTGCCGTTCGGGTTCATCGCGATAGGCCAGTGCACGAGGTAAACTGATAATTAAGAACTGTCAGTGTCAATCAGACAAGGCCAGAGAAATGCAGATCCCACGATCAAGATATGTTGTTCCCAAGTTTGCCAGTGTCTGGTCAAGGCATTCCTCAACACGTTTATGGTATGTGCCCCAAAGCTTGCTGGTGATCTATCAATACCCAGGTGAACAGGGTAACGAATCCGTGAGATATGTCATACGCACAAACACTTCCTCCCGCGGAACGCCCGATGCACGCAGGCCCTCTCCGACTTCCTTCTCGTTCCCGTACGCCCTTTGGTGTGAAGCGTTCGTTATGATTATTTCACGGTCAACCAACATTTTCCTACCAAGCACAGTCGATGTGTCTATAACCTGCCTTCAGTGCATGTTCGACAGCGAGGGCAACTTCATTGGGTTTAGATTGCCATGTTCCTGTTCAGTTTGTCAGTAAGTCGTTAACCCTGAACTGAGTTCGTGAGCTCACCCAGCCCGATGGCAGGGATGATCTGGCCGTTATTAAGGGTGGTGAAATGAGATGCCATAGGTAACCAAAGACAGGTTGAGGTTAACGACACGATGTTATCTCCTTGAGCTGACTCTGACTATGACCTGCACGAGATCATCGTTGACATCGTGAGATTTCATCGGAATCAGCCTCAACCACTGCAGCTGACAGTATTTGTTCACGCGGTGCCCAGAGATAACGGATCTACGTGGTTTTGGAAAATGTTCTGCCAGGTCTCGGGCGCCACGAGTAAATGTGATATAGTACTGTGCAATGTGCATGATGCGGTCGATGATCCAAGCGTTAGTTCCGGCTGCTGCCAGCTGCAGTGCGGACGGTCCGGCCGGTGCGACTCCAGACGTACACGTATGTACTATTGAATATTAGAGGTTGACGTGTGACAGTTCCGAGTCAGACTCTTTTGCCTCTAGCCGTTATTACATAGCCTGATGACTCAATCATCTACTAGTGCCAGGGTCTGGAACTTTGTCTAGTCTTTTCATTTCTGGGTACTTCCATTTCACTCTTTCTAACTCGATTTTCTGATACCCGCAATCAACGACGATGCGGTCGACTCGAGTGGCCAGGCCTAAACTTAGCCTTCTCCACGATCATGACCGAAGATCAATATTCAATGGTGCCACATATCGTCGATATGTTAGTCATTCGCGTCATCATTTTCAATTACTGCCCCAGCTTTTCGGCGAGGCTTCGGGCTTGGCTTGAAGCTTGAGCGTTTGTCTCGTGAGTAGTAATGACCCTACATGCCTGCCTAGCGACCAACTCAAGTTTGTTATCGATGGATAATCATCGGAGATGCATGTGCGAACTTGAACTTCGCGAAGATTTAGCTGAGTACGAATGATCATTTGATATTGCCCAACTTCTTAATACCCTACTTGCAAAGTCTCTTGTCATCGATAAGCATTATGAACTCCACCGAGAATTCAGCGGTCCGAGAACGCTCTCAATGGCCGAGTCACCCTAATTTACACAAAGCTTCCTTCTGTATTGGGCGAGCAAGCGCCGCCCTATACTAGTCTTAGATATCAGCCTCTTGCCGTATCATTGATGATCGATCTCAGTGGTTGCGCCTCGAGGTGATTATCCTGGCCATCTCCACTTCCGGAAGCCGACCTGTCTGCCCTAGACGGACCATTAAAAAACTGCAGATCACTTGGATCCCACTCACGCTACCATCCGCACTATGGATTTCGAGGAGTTTGAAGTTGATATCGAGCGAGCCATCGAGAACTCCGATCTATCAAAATCATGCACTATTACAGAAACTTTGGACTGGGTCGATTCAACGTGGTATGCGCCTGAAAGTAGGAATGCTCGCTGGATGGACCTAATCGGCGACTATGCCGGTGCAGAACCTTTCGTCATAGATGGTACTCGTTTGACTTGTCAGTCGTCTAACCTTCAGGTTGATGCTGATCTACGTCTCAGGTCATTCTTTACTCCAAGTTGTGCTTGATGATCGTCTGCTCTCACTAGCGAAGGATGACGGTATGTCATTGTGGTCTACTGCAGATGTTGTTTATCTGACATGACTCGGGCGATGGCACTGTTGAAGATCCATCATTTCAAATCATTCATGCGATCTATTTACTAGAACACATACTGCAGAACTTTCGAAATCGATCAGCGAACTTCGATATCGTTTTCTTTGATGGTGAGGCCGCTTCTCCATCTTACTATCTCAGTCTATCTTACTGATATGTCTTAGTCAACCGACACCTAGTACTGCGAGCGGGCGAGTCGGAATTTATTGTTGCATCTCGAGCCCTAGCCAGAAGACTCCTATATAAGCACCTCCAGTCGCTGGATTCGGTGAATACCTTCACCTTTACGAGTCTCTCCGACAAAAATTGGCTCGATTATCGTATTCGAGTGAAGGTAGAACATCGCCTCACAAAACATGATAATTTCTTCTCACTCCCATATAGCCAATGTTTGTCATGGTCAATGATGGCGGTACTCTGAAGGAAGGAGTCGGACAATTCGCTGCCCATCAAATACTCACTCAACGATTATTTATCTTCGATTTACTGGCTAGTGGATTGGCAATGGCGCCGCTCCAGGGTGCTGATTTCAAGGACACCAAGGTCACACCGCGTCTTCTTCCCTGTTCTATTTTCTTACCTGATTGTTGGTCATGCTATAGATCTTAACTTTCGTTTTTGAATCAAAGCTTCGCTCAAGCCAGGGAGGGCATTTCCCCAATGCTGTTTTATCCGCGGGCATCGCTGCCAGGGACATTCTTGCTAATCATGAACAAGGGCCATTCGATCAAGTCCGCAGCTGCGTTCTTGGTGAAGCATCAGTATCCCCATCTTTCTTCGACCTCTGCGCGACCTTGAAGGATGTTGGATTGTCATATCTTTCAGCATTCAAGAGCAACACTCAGCCATTGCTACTTGCTGTTTTTATCATTCACGTTCTTCTTCTCAAGAACATGTCTGTCCAGGATCGAGCGCGGCGCCTGCCACCAATGAAACCCGACCTTTTCACTTCATTGACGAAATCCTTCCTACCTCATATCCTTCGAGCAGCAGAAGCAGTCGTTGTAGCAAACGATGCATCCCTCGACATTGATATTCGTGTATTCCTTTGTATCTTGCGCTATCTTTCCGAGCATCCAGCTCAATCGCTGACGGAGGTCCTGGGACCGACTGTGGTCAAAGATGCAGAAGATATTTTTTCTGAGTTGAAGCTCCCGCACCTTGACTTTTCGCATTTGAGCGTATCTTTCCTTCCTGATGACTTGTATGAGATTCCAATTCCCCTCAAGCTCCTTCCGTTTTCCAACCCAGTTTTTGACGAGGAGCTTTCTGCCGTCCGCATTGTTACGGAGGGCGTCACACGCCCCCATCCCGTAGAGCCTGTTGCTTCTGGTGGAGAAGAGTCTGACGAGTGGGATGATAGCAGCACTAGTGACGAGTCCGCTGTTGTCCTCCCATCCGCTCGTTCTTCTCAAAATAAAACATCAAAAGAGGATACACACTTTTCTGACACGCAGCATTGGCACAACAATAAAAAAGCCATTCCTCCCAAGCGCCTCGGAGGAGAGGCTACAGCACCGATGACTGAATGGCAGCGTAATCGGCAGCGTACTTGGAAGCTTCGTTCGGACCAGCGCTTTATGAAGACCTTGCATGACCAAGCTAGCACCCTTACAGGGGCGTTAGGAGCTGTCCTCGAACAAGTCAAAATACCATCTGTAGCGTCCCTTGCGAATCAGCGTAACGTGAAGGTCGGTGCTCAGGCATAGCAATTCTTACTTCTGTCGCTTATCATAGACCCCCAGCCAAAAGTTGTTCACGTTCGTTCGTCAGGCAAAAGTACCAGCAAGCTATCAAAAGCCGATGCCATCCGCGAACAGAATATTGCTAAAAAGGAATCTAAACAAGTATCTGAGTCTGCAGCATGGATCGCGTCCCGCATTCAAGAGATGGAAACCCTAGATGGCGCTGGTCTCGAAAAGTGTCTGGAAGTTCTTGCCCGCAATCCGCGAACTAGGGAGGCATCCGTAGGCGCGGAACTTCGGGTCTATCGTATGCACCGTCTGCTCCGAGAGTGGATCCAGTCCGCTAATCCAGACTCCTCGGCGACTCGTGACAAATATTCCCTGTTGCTCATGCGTCTCGTCAAGGCAGTTTGGGAGATCGGCTTTAGCACAAGAGAGATGGTTAATGCAATCACAAGCGTGTTAATTACCCTCGGCTTCAGCGACTACATCGATAGTCTCGTGGTCTCAGGTTCAGCTGATGACAGGCCGCTAACTTTTCGCTTCGTCAAGCTGGTCAAGTCCAAAACTAAGACCGCGGTCTATGACTTTATGCGAATTCAAGAGCACCCTATTATTTGGCAACTCCGGCTATTCGGGGAATTCATGGATAGAAGTATGGACAGTCAGGCTGACGCAAGAGTGACCTTCAAGCCAGATGCGTGGCAACGCGAGGTGCTTGACGCTGTCGACCAAAATATGTCTCTTCTCGTCGTAGGTTAGTGATGCTTTGTTTCGGAGGTAGAACAACCACTCAGTTATTTATAGCTCCTACCAGTGCGGGGAAGACCTTCATCTCATATTACGCTATGGAGAAGATTCTCCGAGGGTCTGATGACGGGATACTCGTTTATATTGCACCGACAAAAGCCCTCGTCGCTCAGGTTGCAGCCGAGATTTATGCTAGGTTTAGCAAGGATCTTAATGGTCGTGAGTGCTCATGTGCTCATATTCAACAAGTGATCATCGCTGATTCAATTACAGGGAGCTGCTGGGCCATTCATTCCCGTGATTACCGGGTCCACGATCCGCAGAACTGCCAAATCCTTGTCACCGTCCCTGAAATGTTGGCGATCATGCTCTTAACTCCTCCACTCGCCAAGATATGGACCCCCCGACTCAAATAGTATGAATGTCAGTTTGATGCATATGTATTTCCCTCTCACATCTTACCGCAGTGTCGTCCTTGACGAGATTCACACAATCGGCCAGCAGGAGGGCGGAGCTGTTTGGGAACAGATTCTGCTTCTGTGCCCTTGTCCTATCATGTACGTCACTTTTGTATTTAACTGTTGATGTACTAATTCCCGCATGAATAGAGGTCTGTCTGCCACAGTTGGAGCACCAGAAAAGTTCAACGAATGGCTCGAGAGCGTTCAGAAAGCGGGTGGGTTCCAGCACAAGTTTGTGCATTATCCCTATCGATACTCGCACTTGAGAAAGTTCTACTACAACATCCATGAGAAGCCGAGAGATACCTTCCAAGGCCTTTCAACGTACAAGACTACAGAAAGGATGCGATTTCTGCATCCGCTGTCAATTCTTTCGTCCAGTGCACGTTCTCTCCCCTCTGATCTTGCATTGGAAGCGGTGGATACATTGCATTTATATCATGCCCTAAGTATGTGCAATGCCCTCCAGCCCTCCATTCTCGCTGCCCTCGATCCTGCGGTATTTTTTTCGTCTAGCAAACCGCTTCAGCAGAAGGACGTAATCCAATACGAAGAGGCTCTAAAACAGCACCTCGTCCCGTTGTTGTCCTCCTTCGATTCGCAAGACTCCGGGACCCCGTTGTCGCGCGTCATTGTCCAGCTCCAAGATGATGATTTATCTCGTATCCCAGACAGAGTGTTGAACTCTGCACCTAGCCGTGTTGTATCTAGCGACAATATCATTCATCTAGTCGCCGATCTTCACACACAGGGGGACCTCGTGAGTACCCGACGCACTTTCTTTCTCTATGTTCATGAGATCCTTATTT